AGCAGAAGAAGCAGGCTTTGCACTTTGCCGAGCCTCCCTTTCCCTCTGTTCAGCCTCCAACTCCATTCTCTCAGCTTCCTCTTCGGCTTCCTCAGCCTTAAGAATTTCAGCTTCGACTGGAGTTGCATACTTCATATGAGGGTCTTCGGGATTCTGGACCCATTCAGCACATTTGGACCAGTCCAGCTTCGGCTCAGCATGAAGGCAGACTCTTCGGCATACTCTGAACCCGTTTCTGAAACCCATTTCATATTCTTCCTGGGTATAGACACGGACTTTGAGTAGAGCCTCAGCATCAGCCAGCTTCTTCTGGGTCTCCTCCAAGTCTTCCTTGGATTTCTTCAGCTCGTCGGCGAGCTTGGAGGAGGAACCTTTCAGCTCATTCAGCTCCTGCTGAACTTGGGAAGCCTTTGTCTGAGCCTGGGCCACTTCAACTTTTTTGGCCATCAGTTGATCCTCAGCCTCATGGAGTTTAGCTCTTTGAGCTTCAACAGCAGCAACAGCCTCTGAGAGTTGGACATCCCTGGCCTGGAGCAGCTCTTCAGCAGCCATTCGGCTGGCTTCAAGAGCTTCTAGTCGTTGCTGCACTTCAGCTTGTGCAGCAACTCCTTCCTGAATACGGCTCTCAACGGCAGCCTTGAATTTGGAGACGTCCACTCCCATGTGCTCCTGGAGGAATTTTTCCCCTTCCATCAGTGGGGGAAAAACTTCCTTCTCCATAGCGTCGCAGAAGGTTTTGAGGGCTTCAACAGCTTTTTTCTCGTACTCCTCACCCTTCTGCTGCTTCTCTTCAGCTGCTGCTTGCTTCAGCTTAGCAAGCTTTAATTCCTCCTCAGCTACCTTCTTGTCGTGCTCGGCAGCATCTACCCTATCTTGTAGGGTATCTATCAGCTCTACAGTGAGATTCTGATTGTGCACGAACTGAAAACAGGAGCACAAGTTAAAAAAAAAACAAATAAAGGTAAATAAAAATAGAACTGAATTTTAGAGGAAATAAAGGCAAGGAAAATCACCTGCATCATCAGCAGTTGGTTAGACCTGGCTGGGTCAGGAACTGATCTGCTGGATTCGCCCATCCCAGCAGTGGCCTTCAGCGACCAGATTCTTGCCCTATCTACTTCGGACATGCCAGCAAAATCGCCGAAGTAGGCTGCAGCACCTTCACGGTTCTGACCCCATATGAGGTCCCAGATGTGATCTGGGATTGGAATTCGGGGGGCCGAGAAACCCATTTCTCCAGATTGCAGAGTCTGGAAAGAAGGAAAGGATGACGATGGAGCTTCTTTAGCTTTGGATGGCTCAGCATCATCCTTCTCAGAAGAGTCAATTACTAGGACCTCTTCTTCTTCAGGGGTGAGGACGAAAGCCTCAACCTCTCTTGCAATGTCTGCCGTGAAACCCTCAGCACTGGGCATCACGGCATCCTTATTTTTGTGCTCAGCAGCACTCTCCTGAATTGCTTCTTGGACCCCTCCCTTAGATTCAGGAGTTCTCTGATCCACCTCCATCTCAAGAGGTGGCGGAGGGATCTTTTGAGGTGATTGGGGTGGTGGCCGGGGAACCCTCGGCGATCCATTGCCTTCCTCGGGTTCCCTTATTTCAACGCCGATGGTCATCGGCCTCCGCTGAAAGTCATGAGGGCCGATGATGGCCATTCTTCGGCGCCTTTTCTGAAGAGGCTGCTCGTCCATGTCTGAGTCTGAAGACTCTTGTATTTGGTCTTCGGGACGAACAAGGGCTTTCCCTTCTCTGTGTCTGTTACTCTCTTCAGACTGTAACAGACAGGGGGGAGGAAGAATGTGAGTACAAAAAAAAAAAAAAAAAAAAAAGAAAAAAGAAGAAAGACAAAGTTAAGTCTGAAAGCTCACCGAGGTCTTCAGCAAAGCCTCGTCTTCTTCAGCTGCCCTAGCTGCAGCTTCTTCTTCAGCAGCTCTGGAGGACCCTTCTCCTCCTTCGCAAGCTTCGAGAACCCGTGCAACCTCTTCGGCTGTACGGGCAGCTTCAGCTTCTTCGTCCAGCAGCTGAAACCGGGGTCTCTCTTCTTCCACCAAGGCTTCTGCCTCTGATACAGAGCAACAGCCTCAATTTGGAAGTGGGAAGAGTCTAGATGAACTTCCCTATGCCTCGGTTCAGTGATAGACGGGGCCCGATCAGTTACAACTCGTTCTCGGTTGACACCAAGACGAGCGTAGTTAATGCCAACGTTGGTCTCGTCCCGCTCTGAAAAAGAAAAGGGGAAAGGTCAGTTCAGATAGGTTGGCACAGCATAAAAAAGCGAAGTGAGAGAAGAAAAAGAGATAATTAAAAAGCCTCGGCCCCAGCCGAAGAAGCTTACCATCCTTAAACTTTCGGCTGAGGCCAACAGCTGCTAGCATGTTCTCTTGGAAAACATAATGCGTATCGGGGAGCCAAGTCTCCGGGATATGCTGCATTCGGTCGCTGCCCCCCCGGTTCGGCAGCTTGCCGAAGATATGTTGTTGATCAAGGTTCGGATCCGGCCCGTTATCTGCGGGGGGACCTAGACTTCCCATGTCGGGATCAGGCTCAGCAAGGTACCGGGGAGCGCTGAAGACGCAAGGGTGGCCCGGATCTGTGGGTGCCCTAACCCAAATCCATTGACCTCTCCAGTCCTTGTCTGAAGAGTCGTTCGGCCACATGGTTAGGTACTGGGGCCGGGACTCAATCCGGTACCACCCAGAACCATGGCTTCCGTGCCCACTTTGAATATTTGGCACCAGCCGATGAAGCTTTTTGAAGCAGTGCAGGTTCGGCACATACTTGAAGAACTTGCAGACCCATAAGTATGTCATCACCCTTCGGATGCTGGTGGGAGTTAACTGACATAGGAAGATATTGTAATGGATCAGCAAGTCTCGGACGAATACGTCCAAAGGGAACCTCAGCCCGTACTGAAGCTGTCTTGTGTACACCCCCACATACCCCGGGGGTGGACGATGGATTCTATCGGATGCCGCGGGCATTCGGCACCAATACCCATCAGCTTCAAAAATGTCGTAATGCAACTCAATTTGCTCGGCAAACCGATATTGTTCGGCATTCTCCACCCACCATGAGTAGGGGCGGTTCTTTATCATGGCCGAAGCTACTTCGGCATTCTCCCACTCTGAAAACCCGGGGAGGATATCCCAAAGGACAGCGGGAACTTCATCGTCCCGTTCAGAAGCGCTCGGCCCCTCCGTTCTCTGAGGAGGAGCCGAGGAAATTGGAGTCGCCCTAATCCCTTCAGCAGGGTCAGACTCCGGCCTTTGTCCATTCCAGGTCCCAATCCTGTTCCTAGGATCGGGAATTGGCCTTGCTCTTCTTGGAGCACGGGCTCTGCCTCTAACTCCTCTTGCCATTGATTATTTCGAAGAAAAAAGTCGAAAAAAAAGGGAAGGAGTTCGAATTCGAAGAAAAATAAACTGAAATCAAAGGAATTTACCTTAATCTGAAGCGAAAGTTGCCGATTTACGAGTTCGTAGTGGCAAGTCTCAGTTTCTAAGCTTAATGCTCGGGGAATTTGCGAAGTTTTGATGCGGGTTCTTGGTTTCTCTCGAGAATTCTGGGTTTGTGTTGGTGAATAAGTGAGGAGAGATGACGCGCCTCTGTTTATATCTCCAGGAATGGGATACGGGGAGTCCGCGTTTCAATTTCTCTTAAATACCCCACTAAGTAACCGTTAAACACACGACCTTGCGATTAAACTGCCCATTATCCGTCCAACTTCCACCATCATCCGCCTTAACTGTTGTTATCTCATTAATTACGGTTTAAATTCAAATTTTTAAATTAATTAAATCATTTACTTCCCTCCTTTTCTGAATTAAATCAAACCCGACCCGTCATCCTTCCAAATCGGGTCTGGGGGGCAAGTTGTTTGGGTCCAATTTAGTCCAATTGGGCCTAGGCATTAAATGATCCAATTAAAAGCCCAAGGTCAAGGTTCAACTCTCCAATTGTGCTAAAGTCAAAGGTCAGCCCTCAAAGCAAGCCAATTGGGCTAAGACCCAACCTCTCCATGTATGAAGAGGTATAAAAACCATCAATATTCATACATTCATATTATTCATAGATTCATATATTCTCATATATTCAAGCAAAGCCTCAAGCAACTAATTCTCTTGCATAGTGTTCTCTTTCTACACATTGTACTGACTTTAGCATCGGAGGGGCCTTCCTCGGCAACACCCCCGAGGCTAGTTTACGTGTGTTTACTGTGCAGGAAACCTTCGGCCCAGCATAACTTGGACCGAATCCAGTTTTCTCCGTTTCAGCGGACCTTCGGCAAGGTCCCATTGTTTTCACCCGAAACAATATATATATCAAATCTTTATACAAAATATCATAAACAAGTGCTACTTACTTTGAGTTCTCTTCTGATCTCTATAAACAGGTTTAAGAAATAAGATCAAAAGAGTGAAAGACCTCTCTTGTTCTCGGTAGGAGCAAGGGCTTAGCTTGTGATTAAAGTGGAGCAAAACGGAAACGTGAGGTGCGTGGCTGGTTGGCAGCGACCTCAAGCAGAAGAATGGTAGGTGGCGGTGATTGCGGCGATGGTGGTGTTTCCTTGGGCAATCAAAGCTTATAAGTGTTTTTGCTTGTAGCTAGAAACTTGAAAGAGAAGGGAGAAGATAGATAAAGTTTGCTATGTGAGTTGGATAAGCATAAACATTGAACTGATCATTTGTTATGACTATAAGTGAAGGAGTTGAACAACAAATAAGAAAGAAGGAGATGGAAAAAAAATAAGGCGGATGTCGTTGTCTTTTCATATGAGTCAAGGGCATTTTGGTCATTTTACTCTCTTAGGTAAAATACAAATTTTGATACAAACATTTAAACATTTGACCGAACATAAAAATATTACTTGACCTGAAATACAGTTTAAAATAAATTAATCTCTGAAACATAAAGATAATACATTTTCCATCTCAATCAACTCTTATTAATGTTTCAAATTTCACATAATATTATATATTCCTTTCATTTATTAAGTAAATTAGAGGTAATATAATTCATTTATTTTTCACAAGATTAGAATATAAATACATATTAAGTAAGAAAAAAATTAACACCTGAGACAATGCCCGAACCACGCACTAACTATATAAACAGTTGAACATAATTATAAAATTAAAGAAGTACACAAACTAACAACCCGGGGCACACACTAGTTGTACCATTAATTGAAAGATTATTTTGATTAGTTCACATGCTAATTAGCATAATTAGTTTGTTAATGATTAATTACTCAATTCGTCTATTTTTATTGTTCAATTTTGTTTATTTAAGATTGTTCAACTTTGTTTATTTAAGATCACAAAAAGATTTCAAGTAGAAACAACAATAAGAGAAGGACAAAATGCATTTACTTTTTTTTTTTTTTTTGAGGGAAAATGCATTTACTTTGTTTGTAAGCAATAGTCTTCGATAATTCCGAATTCTTGTCGTGCGACAAGGGCAAGAACGTATAACTTTGGCTGGCTTGATCAAATACCTTACTTGCTTTTGGAACTTTAAATTTTTATAGCATTATTATGGAACGTACGTAGCAACCTTTCCTTGCAACTCAAGGCAACCTTAATTAGACCATATACAAAATAAAATTAAACAACTAGATGATCGTTATATGAATCCCAAGTTAGTTCATTCAACAACCTCCTAGACTGTTACAAAGGTGCAATCATCTTCCCAAACTAAGGTATGTTGAACCCTTCCATATAGACTAATATGTATTTTATGAGCAATTAAGGTAGATTTTTTTTTTTCCTTTTATTTTTAATTCCTGAATGAACCACAAGGGCAATATGAATTATTGCTTGTGAGGTACTGGATTTGATCGAACTATAATTTTAACATATCACACACATGGCCTCATTATCAGTCAATAGGCTAAGAACTCGTCATTGGTAGGTAACAAGAGTTTTTTTTTTTTTTTTTTTAGTATGAAACATAATTTAATTAACTATATGTACATTTTGTTGTAACAATTTTCTACTTGTCCAGGTAAATCTAATTTAATTCCCCATGACAATGGAAGCTACTCATCAAAAAGAAGAAAATGCGACAACGGTAATGCTAAAAGTGGGTCCATTTCCAAGTCCAAATAGTCAATATTATCCAAGAAGCAGTGATGATGGCAAGACAATAGTAGTTGATTGGGATGAAAAGGGAAGAACGAAAATTGCTCAAATGTTCATATCATATGACAATAATTATAAAATATCCCTTTCATTCCAATACATTGAAGATGGCCAATTGATTCTTTCTCCTATATTTGGCTCCCAATATCTCGATGGTCACAACTTTGATACGGTCTCTCTTTTCTCATTCTTACTTGGTATTGCATATTCAAATTCTGCATATGAGTAGTCTCATATTAAATAAATAGAGAGAAAATGAGGCGTATGATTCGATCCAATTGATGTCTTTGGCTTACATGTGCTCCCTCACCTTGTCATCCTCTCTTCATACTTGGATAATCCCAAACCCATTTTACTTTAATAGGTTAATTACATTTCACAATGTATCTTAATTAGTAGTACGTATGCTAAGGTACTAGCGGCTTCTAATAAGTTTATTAGCCTTAAGTTCTTCCCATTTCAGATTAACAAGTTTGGCAATGCATACTTAAAATCGTTAGTGTCTCTAATTACATGTTATAAAAATTATAAAAGCTTAAGATTCTAAAAATAAACTTATTGAGACACATCAAACAAGATTCTAGGGAATATTTGTTACTACTTACTAGGTGTCTAATCGGTGTCAATAATCACAGGTGACGTTCATGGAAGGCGGAGATAGTGAGTACATCACACGAGTGAGTGGGCATCATGGTCGTAGAGACCAGAGAGGGCGTGGATTGATGTCATTGACAATCGAAACCAATAAAGCTGCCTACGGCCCGTTTGGAAGTGATTCGAAACACGTCGATAAATTCAGCTTTAGCTTGGGACGGGGTGATCAATTTGGTGGATTTCATGGCAGCTCTTCCTCTGACATTGTTACATCCATTGGAGTTTATTTGAAGCCTATCCAAAATACGGTTACCCTTGTTAAAAGAACTCATCTTCCTATTGAAAGTGTTTGGGTCCAATTTAGTCCAAATTGGGCCTAAGCACTAAATGATCCAATTAAAAGCCCAAGGTCAAGGTTCAACTCTCCAATTGTGCTAAAGTCAAAGGTCAGCCCACAAAGCAAGCCAATTGGGCTAAGGCCCAACCTCTCCATATATGATGAGGTATAAAAGCCATCATATATACATATTCATATGCTGATTGATATATTCAGGGAGATATTCTGATATATTCCATAAAAAGCCTCAAGCTACAAACTCTCTTGCATAGTGTCTTCTTCTCACACATTGTACTGACTTTAGCATCGGAGGGGCCTTCCTCGGCAACACCCCCGAGGCTAGTTTACGTGTGTTTACTGTGCAGGAAACCTTCGGCCCAACATAACTTGGACCGAATCCAGTCTTCTCCATTTCAGCGGACCTTCGGCAAGGTCCCATTGTTTTCACCCGAAACAATTTGGCGCCGTCTGTGGGGAAGACTTTCAAAAATCTTTAAGCCAAATTCCTAACCAAGATCATCTTGCAATTATCTTAGCAGCCATGGCTAAGAACCGCAAGAGCAAAAGCCTCCGTCAAGGAGCGGGCGAAAAGCCTAAAACCCCTACACCATCGCCCTCGCCGGACCGGAACTCTCCCAAGGGTGCCGGCTCGGGGGGAGGATCATACAAGGAGGATTCCCTATCTCCCGTAATTCATGACTCTCAATATAGGCCGGACCACTCTCGGTCTAGCAGGGGTTAGTCTGATCATAGGACATATTCAGTGTCCCAAAGCCAACCATCGGCTGCGCGGCCTCATTCCCACACTCGGCCGAGGACCCCTTTGACGGGGCCCAGTTCGGAAGAGGTGGCAAGAGCGCTGGCAGTACTCATGGAGGCAATGAGGGCACAAAATATGCCACCGCCTCGTGATCGAACTCCTCCGCATACCCGGCATCAGCGGAGGAAGTTAGACCATGACGGTGGGAAGCTTCCTTCCTTCCGGGAACTGGAAGAGTGGGAGGAGGATTCTTGGAAAAATGAAAAACAGAGGAAAAAGAACCCTCAATTATTAAAAGGATCCTCATCCTTAAGACCAAAAGCGCATAAGAGCAGCAGCTCAGCTTCTCGGCCAGAATCTACTCACCGAGAACCTGAGACTGTTCGCAGAAGCGTCCTTGACCGACTCGGCGGCCAGGAACCGAGCGTGCGTAGTCGCCTCTCGTTCCCTGCAGCCGAGGCCCAGACTTCCCAGCCAGGGACGAAAACCACTCCTACCTCTCTAAGAGGGCGGAGCGCGGTCCCTTCGGCCAGGAACAAGGGCAAGGCCGTTATGCTACCCGCTAGTTCACCATTCGAGCAATGGATACTGGAAGAGCGCGTACCCACGGTTAAAATACCGTCGCATATCACATATGACGGGACCACGGATCCGAAGGACCACGTGGCCTCGTATGAGACTCATATGCATCTTTGCCCCAGATCCGAGGCGACTTGGTGCAAATATTTCCCAACCACTCTCAAGGGGGTCGCGCAAGCGTGGATCTCCAAGGGAGTAAGGCAAGGCTCCATAACAGGTTGGGATGATCTGTCCTCCAAGTTCAGGAGCAAGTTTTCCACGGCAAACCGCCGAGAGAAGACTACCGCAGAGCTCATGAGTCTGCAACAGGGGGAAACCGAAAGCCTCCGAGACTACCTGACCCGTTTCAGTAACGAGTCATCAAGCGTCTCCCAGCTGGACCAGGGGTTAGCTGTTTTTGCAATGCAGAATGGCCTTCAGCCAGGAAAGTTCCTAGACTTCATGGTCATGCATACCCCGCAGACCTTGGAGGAAGCTCTTAGTGCTTCGGATAAGTTCATCCGAGCCGAAGAATGGAATAAAGCAAAAACCCAACCTCAATCCGGGGGAGGGAAACAGAGGCAAATACCCTTGTCTGAAGGCCAAGGCCATAAGGCAAAAGGAAAATCAAAGGCTCCGGAGCCATCTTTGGCCAACGACCTAAAGAAGGACAGATTTGCCTCATACACAGGCAGATACGAGTCCTACACTCCGCTCTCTCTTCCACGCGCCAAAATTTACAGTGTGACGAAGGAGGAGCAGAGTTACCGAAAGCCGAGACCACTCCCAGAGTGGTATCAGCGAAAAAATAAAAATCAGTGGTGTGAGTTCCACGAGTCTTCGGGCCACAACACTGAGGAGTGTATCCAACTGAAGGACCAGATAGAGGACATGGTCCGGAAGGGATACTTGAAAAAATACATCGCGGATCACCGCGAGAAAAAAGAATCCGAGAGGTCAGCAAAGGACCCTCGGCAGGACCTTGATTTCCCCCGGAAAAACAGTAAAAAACCGGAGGGGAAATTCCCTCCGATCAATGTTATCTCGGGAGGAATATACTCTCGGAGGGAGCACAAGCGTCACCTTAGAGCTTTGACTCACCAGGTGAACAACGCTGACATTCAATCTCCCCAGTCGCCGGTGCCGAACATGACGTTCACAGCCGCCGACTGCCGGGGGATTACGTTCCCTCACGAGGATCCGTTGGTGATCATCGCCACGGTGGCCAACCACGACGTCAGTAAGGTCCTTGTTGACGGTGGCAGCGGAGCAAACATTCTGTTCCGAAAGGCCTACAATCAAATCAAGCTGAAGCCCAAGCATCTTACGCCGGTACCCTACCCGGTATCCGGGTTCAACGGGGCTTTAACTTATCCAGATGGGAAGGTGACACTTCCTGTCACCATCGGCTGCGATGAGGCAGCCAGGAACGTCATGATTGAATTTTTAGTAATTGACGCTCCTTCAGTGTACAACGTGATTTTGGGGAGACCCATAATTCACGAGATCCAAGGGGTCGTCTCAACTTATCATCAGCTGATGATTTACGTCTCAGACGCCGGCTTCCCCGAAAGGATACAGGGCAACCAAAAGGACGCCCGAAGGTGCAACTACCTCAAACCATCCAATAGTCGCCCAGATGACAAGGATGAGGAGGAGAAAGAAAAAGAAAGAGAGCCGAGCACAAAAAAGCCGAAAGGCCTAAGTGCTTCGGCCCAAGGATCTGTACCCAGAGGTAAAGGGTCCGAAAGGGAAAAGGCTAGCTCTTCAGCTGAGCCGCAAGACTCAGAGAGCCAGCCGAAGAACAAAAAGACTGGGACACCTGCTGACATTGGCAGCAGACCAGATTCTGAAGAGTCCAGTCCATCGGCAATGGACATGGACCAACAGACTGAAACAGTTGAGTTGGCCGAAGGAGACGCTGAGAAATGTGTAACAATCGGGATGGACCTTGATCCGAACACCCGTTGTGAACTTATTCAGCTCCTTCGGGATAACAGAGATGTGTTTGCTTTCTCGGCAGCTGATATGCCCGGGATAAGTTCAGACCTCATCTCCCATAAGCTTAATGTTGACCCAACGTGTCGACCAGTTAAGCAAAAGAAGCGGAATTACTCCGCCAATAAGAACCGAGACATCGCAGTCGAAGTCAAAAAATTATTGGAGGCAGGATTCATTGAACCTTGCCAATATCCAGAATGGCTGGCAAATGTGGTGATGGTTCAGAAGCCCAATGGTACCTGGAGGATGTGCGTTGACTTCACGGACCTAAATAAGGCTTGTCCAAAGGTTTTCTATCCCTTGCCGAGAATCGATCAGCTAGTCGATTCGACAAGTGGCCATGCCTTGCTTAGCTTCATGGACGCATTCTCGGGGTATCATCAGATCTTTATGCACCCCGACGATCGAGCCAAGACAGCATTCGTCACAAACGCTGGGGTGTACAATTACAAAATGATGCCCTTCGGATTGAAAAATGCGGGGGCAACCTATCAAAGGCTGGTGGATCAAGTCTTCGCCGATCAAAAGGGCCGAAACATGGAAGTCTATGTTGACGATTCAATCGTCAAAAGCAAAAAACTAGAGGACCATGTAAAGGACCTGGCTGAAACTTTCGCCACCTTGAGAAAGCATCAAATGAAGCTGAATCCGAAGAAGTGTGTCTTCGGCGTGAAGTCAGGGAAATTCCTGGGGTTCATGGTCAGCAAAAGGGGGATTGATGCCAATCCCTCTAAAGTCAAAGCGGCGCTCGACCTTCCTGAGCCGAAAACGAAGCGGGATGTTCAGCGGCTCACCGGAAGAATGGCAGCCCTCTCGAGGTTCATTTCCAGAGCTTCGGATAAGGGGTTACCTTTCTTCAAAGCCCTGAAACTCCCGAAAACAAAAGAGCTTGTTTGGGAGGAAGAGCAAAAAGACGCCTTTCAACAGCTTCGGGAGCATCTGGCTCGACTCCCAACGCTGGCTAGCCCAGCTGAAGGAGAAACTTTATACCTATATGTGGCCGTTAGCCCGGCCACCATCAGCGCAGTATTGCTGAGGGAAGAGAGTAAGAGTCAACAACCGATCTATTTTGTCAGTCATACACTGACGGATGCCGAGACCCGCTATCCTCTACTCGAGAAAGTTGCTTTCGCGGTAGTAGTAGCTGCTCGGAAGCTGAGGCCCTATTTTGATTGCCATCAGATAGTGGTCTTAACTGATCAGCCGTTGGAAAAAGTTCTCGGCAAGGTTGAAAAATCCGGTAGGCTAGCCAAGTGGGCTTTTGAGCTCACCGAATTCAGCATCAGCTACCGTCTGAGGGCTGCCATTAAGGCTCAAGCCCTAGCGGATTTCTTGGCCGAATGCTCATACCAAGAAGCGCTAGACAGTGAAAAGAAAGTCTGGACCGTGTTTACGGATGGGTCTTCCACCGAAAACGGTTCGGGGGCAGGAGTAGTGATAACTTCTCCTGAAGGCAAATCCTTTGAGTATGCACTAAAATTTCTTTTAAGGCCTCGAACAATGAAGCCGAATATGAGGCAGCAATCGCCGGCCTACAATTATGCATCTCCTTGGAAGCTGATCATGTCTGCTTAAAAACAGACTCTCATCTAGTTGCATATTAGATCAGTGGCAGCTACGAGGCCAAAGAGCCCTCCATGATAGCTTATCTTGCCAAGATCAAATCAGTCATTGCAGAGCTGAAAACTTTTGAGGTTCAACTGATCCCAAGGGGTCAGAATACTCAAG